ATATATATATATATATATATATATACTGTACTATGACCTTAAGTTTCCTGGGTTAGGTACTTTACTCTACTTATCACATATCCAGATAACCACTCATTTTGTCGAGGATGAACGTGCTGCCCGATCTGGACAACTAGTGTGTAAGAAAGGATAAAAGAATGAAAATTATTTTGCGTCCCCGTTCATTTCTTGCGTGCTTCTTTTGTGTTCCACTGACAAAATTATGATGAATGTAGGCGAAATTCAGAGAACTGAGTGATTGAGCACTTTCTGCTGACACGCATATCCCACGCTGTGATGCAGGTTATTAAAACTTTAGGTAACCCCCATGTATTCCCACAGTCATGCAGATAAAAAGTGTTGCAAGTTCCATAAATGAAATTCCCAAGAACTAAATTCCCCTACCTTTTGGAGAAATTCGAAGGACAAAATTTTAAGGTCCCAAAATAATTTATAGTGCCGAATGCTTTCAGTAGTACTATTGACATCGAATAACTATAAATGGTAAGTTCTTCGGGCTGCGGGTGCTATTTCGTGGGTTTGGAAACAAGTTCAGAGGTTATCTTAATAGAGGCCAATTGGGTGTTTGTGGGGGCTAGATAGTCCTAAACTTGGTAGACCCAGGCGAAGTTTATTGGTAGTACGTAATATTTAAATGTGAGTAATATATTAAAAAGTGTGTACTTTTTCTAAATACGCAAGAGAATTCCTGATGCAGCAGGAATTAGTAGACAAAATGTTTTAAAAAAAGGGTGAGGAATTTCCATGCTCATTCTGTCATACAAATCCGATTTTCTCGAAAACCAAGGTTGGTTGGTGACAGTTGGTTTCATATTACGCGAGTACTTAGATCCATAGTAAACGCACTAGCTATTACGAACGCGCATGCATTGTGGTATCAAATTAATAAACTCGAAAGAACGCGCAACATAACGAACCTGCAGAAGCAAGCCCCATGAAATCTGAGCTTTCGCCTTTAATAATTTTATTCCAGTCCGCTTGTAGGGTGAACGCGTTTGGAGTCCATAAATATGCAAAATTCTGCCCAAATCAGCCATCAAATTACCGAATTAGTACTAGACTTCGAAATAACTGAAGTATTTTCTCGAGTTATATAGGGAAAATATTTCTGTGTTGTCATAAGCAGGCCTTCAATTTTTCGTCTCGTTATTTCGTAAACATTTCATCACGGCGTTCGAGCGTATGCATGCATCAAATTTTATGAAGTTTAGCGAACTTATTGATCTACTGATATTGCTTAATCAGTGATTATACAAATATCCATCTTGAAATTCCGTTTACTCGAGGGACATTATTTGGGATGTCCATAACAAAAGATGACTTACCTTAAATTGTGTGACACTAAATAAATTGTATGGAACACAAATTTATGATAAATTGTCCTATCTTAATCTACCACTGCAGACATGTTGTTTGACAAGAGAAAGCAGTAAAAGGGAGGGTGACCAAATCACGAGGTTTGCATCTTCAGCCGAACAAGTCTCGGGACAGACAGCTGAATTTTAAAGCCCAACGTTCAAGGTAAGGGTCATAATACGACTTCAACCTATAACAAGAGACGTTCCTAAAGTAAGCACAGCGGTCATAGGCACCAAATAAGGCACAGGAATCCTTTAGAAACTGATGTCCGGAATTTTGAGTCGTTAAAAGTTGAAAAAAGTCCGCATCTTCTTGCGAATCTTTGATTAGGATTCTACTTCCTGTTAGCCACTTTACAAAGATATATGAAAATTTTTGGATCCGGAGGTGTTCTGATCAGAACACACCTTACCTACTCCCTGCATTACGCTCAGTAAAAACCAAGGAAATATTATGAGACTTCCCAAAGTTGTATGAATGCCAACTTGTTCGTCACGCTAATTTGCATCCACGTCCTACAATCATCTTCTGGGCAGGCATCTTAACCTATCCTCCTTCGTCAAGGCCGTACGAATACACTGAGAAATAACCAATGTATTACGGGTAAACGTTAGGGCTGCGAGATACGCGTATTTCTGGCTCATTAGCCGTCGTCAGTCGTAGTTACCCGACTCCAGTATAGCCACAGAAACTGCTGCTACACTCGAGTTTCGAACCCGCAACCAGTGAGCTAGAGACGAACGTCCTATCCACTGAGCCACCGGGTCAGTGGCTATACTGGAGTCGGGTAACTACGACTGACGACGGCTAATGAGCCAGAAATACGCGTATATCGTAGTCCTAACGTTTGCCGTTAATACATTGGTTACTTAAAGTTAGCGAGCAACATAATTGTTTCGTCCTTGAGAAAAGTTGGAGACTCAACACCTTGCCAGACGAAGCAGCCAGGGTTGGTGAATCCTGGACAAGGTCGGAGTACACCTATGTACTAACACTGAGAAATAGTTCAAAGATGTGGGTGTAACAGGGAAGTATACCAAAAAGTAATTCTTTCCGGAAAAGCTACTGCGGTCATTTAATTTTTCAAATCCGCTTACATACACTACTGGTGTAGTATGTGTTGACGACAAGCAATAAGTACGACTCGTTAGGTA